ATCTGCTTAGAAAAGTCTTCCAATAATTGGTTACAAGTAAGTGCCATGATGAAATGGAGTCGCATAGTACTGATGAAGGAAGATATTCGAGCTGTAAAACAACGAAAACACCGACAACCAACTTGGGCCACAGAAAATACTAAAAAGCCTTACCTTATGTACTTGTCATGTCCAGAAGAATTAGAGAATGCAAAGATCGAAGATAATAATAGTATATAGCAATAAGATATAGTTAGCAAAAGAACAAGAAGACCCACAATGTAAAAAAATACTAGAAGCTTACGTATGGGTTGGGGTCAAAATCCTGTTTGTCGGGATTTTGACTAGCTCCCAAGCTTACATACCTTACCTATTGTATTCTTTTTTTTTGAAAGTTGGAACACTCTTTACCGGTTAAGTTATCACTTAAATTCAAAAGTAGAATTGTGAAATTTAGGTTTTACCTATTAGATCCACGTCCAAATCGTCTCAATCCTAAAAATATAATAATAATTTAATACTAAAGTTTTTAAGAGCAACGACATAATATTAAAATTTCAAAACTAAATAAAATAAATATTCTTTGACTGATATATATTCCCGTTGACGTTAATAAAATCGATATCGATTATCATCATTTATACGATGTAGCATCATTGGTGGAAATTATTTAGATGCGGCTGCTGCGGCTCGTGTAACTGGCACTTTGGGGGCTGCCCTGGCCGACTCAAATAACACCCATGTTCCGACAATACGGTACCTATTTTTAAATGGAAGATCTTTTTCAGTTTTTAATTTATTTTTGATTTTAGGCTTATTATTAGAAAAAGAAAGACTCAATATGTCATAAATATTATAATACAAACAGGTGTTAAATTGTAAAGCAGTAGGGTTACTATAGAGACGGAAGTTGGTTTTGTATTTTTTTCTTATAAAATTTGTAAAATGTAGTATGTAGATCTTATAGTAGAATATGTTACACAAAAATTTAAGAGACATTTCCACTGATCGATATACACTGTATAATTGATCGTCATATGATTATAGAGTGCTCAATTTCTATCTATGGTTAAATAAAGCAGGTTTTAGACGTGCGCCGTAAATAGATAAAAATAATAATTTTTAATACGTTCTAAAATTCCAAAAATGGTTTTTCGCATATTATACGAGAAATTATGTTCCCAGTAAAAAAGGAGTGAAGTTTTGTATATAAGGTATGTAAAATGTTAGTTGTTATTACTTTTTTCCAGAAGTTTTTCGCGATGTCTTCATCTTATTTGCCTTGTTCGTCCTCTAGTTCTAGTTCGTCAACCACTATCATTTACGTTCTCATAACGTATTCCACTACTTCCGAATATCCACACGGTGAGTTTTTCTTATTGATTATTTGCCGAGTTATAGTGTATCCGAATTACGCTGCCAAATCGGTGCAATGAACTCTGATAAAGAATTGAAAGTGTATCGTGGCCAACCATTTTTGATGGTTGAACGTTCTTCTTTATCAGTTATCGGTCTTCCTGTAGTACTGGCCCTGTCTGCGTTAGAGAGGAACCTGCTGTATAATATATACTAGTAGGCTTGCATCTAGGAAGTTGGTGAACAGGATACACTCCAATATCAAAGCATGGACCGTAGACTATTCCGGCCATGTGACTTTGTTGGTTAATAATGATGACACAGTACTCATAATTTATCTTATTTTTTAGTGGGAAAAATGATAAAGGTATAGATATATTATGCCAAACCGCTGATAGAATTGTTTTAATTAAATTATAATATTATGAGTAATTTTTAAATTTTAACTAATTATATTGTCTGTCTTCTAGTTCTAGTTCGTCAAGCTTTGGTACCACTCAGTGTTTCGGCCTAAACCTGATTTTGCAGATCATTTGTAGATAAAATTGGGCGAAACTAGTTTCGGAGGGTTTCGGACTTATAGGGCGAACCGTTTCAGACTTTGGGAGAGGTTTAGGCTGAAACACTGGTACCACTACCATTTTCATAGTGCATTCCACTACTTCCGAATTAAAGATTATCGGTTTCGTTCGACGAAAGAAAGTCGATGACTTAACATCCACACAGGGTGAGTTTTCTCATTGATTATTTGTCGAGTTATAGTGTATCCGAATTACGCTGCCAAATCGGTGCAATGAAATCTGATAAAGAATTGAAAGCACATCGTGGCCAACCATTTTTGATGGTTGAACGTTCTTCTTTATCAGTTATTGGTCTTCCTTAGTACTGGCCCTGTCTGCGTTAGAGAGGACCCTGCTGTATAATATATACTAGTATGCATGCGTCTGGGAAGTTGGTGAACAGGATACACTCTAATATCGAAGCATGAACCGTAGACTATTCCGGTCATGTGACTTTGTTAGTTAATAATGATGACACAGTACTCATAATTTATCTTATTTTTTAGTGGGAAAAATGATAAAGGCATAGATATATTATGCCAAGCCGCTGGTAGGATTGTTTTAATTAAATTATAATATTATTATAATATTATGAGTAATTTTTAAATTTTAACTAATTATAATATTATAATTTTTAAACGAGAATTATCGACCATATATGGTTTTTCTTCGGCGACGGCTTTTGAAGAACCTTTCCGGATTAGGTAAGCTCGCATTAATTTTTCGATCTACCGGTAGATCTAGATCAGTTTTTTTTTTTTTGTTGTTTCGATTTATTTAGTTTTTTTGGCTTTTTTCAATTCTTTAGGACTAAACGTTGGACAAAGACCTTTTTTTTTTTTTTTACCATCAGTCTTTTCTTTACCAGAACACTTTTTTAGGTATTTCTCGTCCAAAATCAGAATTGAGACGCTTTTTTTTTTTCAATCATTTTTCTTTACTGGAACTACCTTCTCTTCGCTAGTTACTTTGTTGCAAGCTGGTCTTCGGATAAGTATTTGCTTTTTTTTTTTCTTTATTTTTTACCATTCTTTTTTCTTGTTACCGGAACCAACTTCTCTCTTTCTTTAGGTAATGGTATTCGTTTGGAATCGGGAGCTGAAATGCGAAATGGACCTGTCTTCAGTTCTCTTTGAAATCGAGAGGCTGAAATGCTAAATGGGACTTGGGGGCTGGTCTTTCAGATAAGTACCAGCTTTTTTTTCACTACCAGTCTTTTCTTGTTACCGAAACTAACCTCTCTCTCTTTTTTAAGTACTTCGTTTGAAATTGGGTCTAAGATGTAAAATGGGTCAATGTCGTTGTTATTGAAGCCTTCTTCAGTGGGTCTTATCGTTTTAATGACGCCATTTAAATGTACCTAAATTAGTACAAATTTATACGTAAAATAACCCTTTAAAAAATCCGAAATTAATGAACATCATATATGACCATGACTAAGTTTTGATCAATTAGTTTATTGAACACCCTATTGAAACGTTAATACCGGTCCAGTGGATCTTCGCGACTATAAGTTTACTTTATAAACATATAGTCGCGAAGACAAAAAATGTCATATCTCACGATCCACTGGACCGATTTTACCTCTATAACTTTTGTTAGAAGTTGAAAAGAGCTTACTTATTAAAAAATCTGGGAAACTTCAGATTCCAAAAGAGGCAAAAAACAATAGTAAATTTCTCCACGGTTTACTATGTTTTTATATAACTTCATTAGAAATGTTTGGAAAAAGAACTTTACTGTACACATTTTGAAAAATATATTATTTTTGATAGTTAATGTCTTTAATTTCAAAAATCATGTGCGCGTGAACAATTTGTTCACGTCGATCACTTTTACCAGGAAAAATATAAATAATTCCCGAAATATACATGCAAAAGTAAACGTGTTTATGTATGCGAAATCAAGCCACTAGGACTAGCTTTATTGATGCACTATAAGAATAAAGTACAAAATAAAATACAAAGCAATACACTATATAAATTTGAGCGTTTAAACAAAATGAGATTTAGAACACTTTGTTAATCACAACACTGATATTTAGATACTTTATTTTATATTTATTTATTTGAAGTTTGCTAAATACCGTCCTGGATGATTTTATTAAAAATCATCCCATATATAAATTATATAAATATTTTTAATTTATTATTTAATACATATATAATTAACACTATACATACGTTCGCAGACCTTGCGAACTTCTATTTTAACTAATCAAATCCCAACAAATGTACTTTGTTAGAAGACGAGTTATGCATCGTACGAACCTAACCTTAACTACGACGCATCGCCTCATACATAACAAACGTTTCATGCCACACCAAACAACACGAAATCACACGAAACCAACACACTAACACGGTGCACCAACAACGACACAACAATAATTCCAAGATGACAAAATCACACCGCGGTAAAATAGACATAATTCTCACTAGTAACGGCACGTACAACACTGGAAGATAAAGTAACATGAGAGACAACAGAAAGGGCGAACGACCGAAAGTGGCGAAATCCCAGCCGCCAATTATTCTGAAATCCGCGGCGAGATCGCAACCATTGAAATCCACGACGAAACCACAACCACAAACGACGACCAAAAGCCCCGGCTAAATCACAACCACCAACGACGATCAAAAATCTCGACGAAATCATAACCACCAAAGCCAAAACTCCCATTAAGGCACGATTTCAACGACGACTTCTACGACGGCTCCGACGACGACTCCAACGATGATTGCTCCAATAACGACGCCATTAACCGTTAAATAAAAAGAAAATAAAGGGTTAATATTAGACATATGTATACTAGAATAAAAAAAAAAAGAAAAAGGATCAATTACATCGATCATCGATCGTTTATATGTTAAAATTATCCGGGATGATAAAAATAAGCATTTGTTAGTTGGTTATCCAGGTCACACCACGTGGAGGTGCTTAAGTGACCCGTGTACCACACTTTGGTGGATTTGGTATTAAGGATAAAAAAGGGTAAAGAGAAATACGGAAAAGGTGTATATATAAGAAACTTATAACCTCATCTTCTTGCCGTTAGAAGAACATTATGGTAAAAAAAAATAATTAAGATGACCAAATCGACTATTAACAATAATATTTTGAATGTATTGAGGAATTTGGTTTATACTCGACAAGAATGAAGATATCAGCTGTTTTAGCCGCTTCTATGGAGTCAGGTGAGAAAGCTTCCACTGTTGGTCCCACTACAATACCAACAGCTGTAACACCGTGTTGAGCCGCACATCTACGGGTTACTTCAATATGGGCGTAAACGATGTCGCGATCTAAAAAAATATTAATTAGTTAAAATTTAATTTAATTACTTACTTATTGAGCCCTTTTTGGAATAATTTTTGCACTGGATCGGAAAGACAATCCTACCATATGCTTAGCATAATATATCTATGCCTTTATCATTTTTCCCACTAAAAAATAAAAGATAAATTATGAGTACTGTGTCATCATTATTAACCAACAAAGTCACATGGCCGAAACTCACCCTGTGTGGACATATTCCATACCAGTCCACGTTAAGTCATCGACTTTCTCTCGTCGAACGAAGCCGATGCTCTTTAATTCGGAGATAGCATCCCACTCGAGCATATCTCCTAGCATTTTAGAGCTATGCTTTATAAGAACGTAAACGGTAGTGGTATTAGAACTTGACGAACTAGAGCTAGAGGACCAAATAACCATTTTACATACCTTATATACAAAACTTCACTCCGGGAACATAATTTCTCGTATAAATATGCCGAAACCCCATTTTTAGAATTTTAGAACGTGTTAAAAATTATTATTTTTAGCGCACATCAAAAACCCGCTTTATAACCTTAGATAGAAATTGAGCACTCAAAGATTATTTATGGTTATCATCCTGAATATAACGATAATCGTATGGCGATCAATTATACAGTGTATATACTAAAAAAAATAATAAAATAAATTTGGTAACAATATGGGGTTCTGTCTATTCTATGACCTTCCATTTATATAATAAAGTTGTAAACGACTACATTATGCATTTATCGAATTTCTAAGTAATTTTTGAGGCTGAAATAATAATTACAGTCGTCCTCCTCTATAATCACGCAGTCCGTATCATGCAAATTGTGTGATTGTATAAAGGTTTTACTATGATGTGCTTATAAAGAAGTATTTTTTTATAAGTTTATTACAGTATTAGTAAAGTGTCGCAGGCCTTGGCGTGATTATAAAAGGGTTTTACTATGATGTGATTATATAGGAGGTGACTATATAGGAGGAAGACAGTACATGAAAATGCACTATACGTTAAGTTTTTAGGAACTAGTACCAGTCCAGTGTCGTTTTTGACATATCGAATACGGCGTGAACATGACGAAACTGACAGGGCGTAGAATCGATTTCCGGTCACGTGATTTCCAGATGTCGTAGCTCACCCACAAAAAATTTTACCCTCGTGAATTTTATGTTAAGGTTAGGGTTAGGGTTATTTTAGATTAGGTTTAAATCAAGTTAGGGGGTAGATTCAGAGATCTACAGGCGTTATGTCAATAGTCTTCGATAGGGATGGTGAAGTCCAGTCGTTGAAACGCTAAAATTGGCCCAAGAATCGTTAGATATGTGCATTTCAGTCTTCGCGACTATATCTTTACTTTGTTTACACAAAGAAGCCGTGAAGACAAAAATGCCCATATCTGACGACCCACTAGGCCGATTTTAACGTTTCAACTACTATTATGCTCGAAATTCTCTTCTCTACAACATTTGTTTAGAAGTTGGAGAGAGGTTTGTTTAGTAAAAAATCGATTTATCCTTTGGGAAACTCCGGATTCTAAAAAGGGCAAAAAACAATAGTAAATTTTCCCACGGTTTACGAATTAATTATTTTTTTCACTGATAAAACTTGATAAAAATGATCAATAAAATTAATAACAAACTATATTTTTGATTAGTTAGTTTATGTGACACCAAAATATATCGGCATTACACGAGAAAGTAATAGCTCCGTATATATACAAAAAAGACTTTTGCAATGATCAAAAGCTTATGCATGATTTATTACATTAAACGAAATCGGTACCGGCTGAGCCGATTATTAACCAGGATTAATGATCCAAATCGTTAGTTGAAATCGATTGGAAATTTTTAATCAGCTAATCGTTGGTTGATTGTCTATATAATATATTTAAAGCGTGGAATTTTTTTAGCCAATCAGAATGGTTTGAAATGATACAGAAAGCACGTGATTATTTATTATGCCAATCAAATTTATTGAAACATGTGACTATTAGTTGCAACTAATCGATTGGAAAAATTTTAATCAACTACTATTGTTCACTAGCACTCGCGGTGATAACCTTAATAAAAATAGATCAATTTTTTTTTTAATATTTTAATTATGCATATAATTGTACAATAGAAGCAAAGAACTTACATCATCGATCTTGAGAATCATCTTTACAAGTTGAGTAGCCAATAAATATTGTTGTCTTTTGGAAATAAGAGGATCATAAACAAATTGTTCTTTCATATCTAAATATTAAATAGAATAAATCAAATATTAAAAATTTTAAATTTATAGAAAAAAGGTATCATTTATTTATATACAAAAAATTGTCACCATTAGACCCCTTCATCGTGCAATCAATACCAAGGCGACTATTGTTCTCGGTCACTTGACGTGATTTGATATCAGCTAAAGTTTCTATTGGGGAAAGCCCAGAATTTTCAGCTAATGCCATAGGAATTGCATCCAAAGCATAGGAAAATGCACGTATAGCATGTTGTTCTATAGATGAAATCTTATAAACATAACAAAATGTAGTATTTGTGTGAAAAAATAGCCCGACATTTGAAACTATAATATTAATATGAACTATTATTACCTGATCAGCAGCTTTCGAAACAGCAAGAGAGCAACTAATTTCGGCAGCGCCACCCCCATAAACAACTCGATTATCACGAACTAAGTTACGCACAACACAAAGCGCATCATGAGTAGCACGTTTAGCCTCATCGACAATCTATGCGAGTGAAAAGTAGTCGATAACTATTGAAATGTCATATAGCTAAGTAAGAAAGAGTTGTTCACATTAAAGTACTGACCATTTTGTTGCTACCACGTATAAACACAGTGACAGCACGAGAATTTGAGCATTCCTCAATAACTAGCATGCGATCTTTCGTAGTTCCAAAAGAGATCTCACGCACAAGACCAGCAACGCCAAGTTTTTCAGGCCTAAGGTCTTCAAATCGTGGTACTATACGACCATTAGTGGCAATAGCAATCAACTAAGAGACGTTGAAAAAGCATGAATTTAGATATATCTACATATATATATATGTATTTCGATTACATTAATAAATGAGTTTAATTACCTCAATTTCAGGACCACCAACCCATCGAACAGCAGGTAGCTTATTCTGCATTAATAGATGGTTTGCCTCATCATCAAAGCCCCACTGACATATAACCAAATTTGCACCTGTATCTTTGACACGTTTAATCATCTCTTCAAATTTTTCCCTTTCATAGTTTTGCAACTTTTTGTATTCATCAACAGAAGTAATGTCCAACTTATGCTTAGTCTTTGGTTTTGGAGGCTCAAAAGGACATGTTAATATTGCAATCTTGGCGTCCCGAACCTCGCGTGGCATCTGCGGATGCGACATATCCTTGTCAACAATGACACCCTGAACAAGGATAGTGTCAACGAGAGAACCACCAACTTTACCATCGACCTTAATGAGTTCAAAATCGACATCTTTACGCTCTAAGTCAGCAACAGATAAGACAGCATCTACAGCTATTTTAGCGAATTGGTCATGATGTTTAGAGACACTTCAACAATTAATCGCGTCAAAAAATAATTCATTTCAAATGAAGATACTTATAAGTAACCAATTTTAGAAAAAAAAATCAATAAATAAAAGTAAATATATAAATAATTACATTTTACTTCCTAAACTTGTCATAGCAGTTTTGAATAAATTTTCAGTATTTTCTTTTGTAAATTCAACAACATCAGAAATTTTTTCTAGATGTTCGACGGCCACTTTACATGCTCTTTCAAATCCATCCGATATTCTAATCGGATGAATTCCACGTTCTAATAAATTTTCACATTGTTCAAGAAGGGCACCGGCCAGTACTTGATACAAACACGTATAAAAGAATTAAAAATAAAATTTTAGATTTGGGCAAATAGTTGTATATTTAACATTCGATCACATACCAACTACGCCGGTTGTTCCGTCACCAATTTCGTCATCTTGTGATTTAGATAGTTGAACTAATAATTTTGCAATTTGATGTTCTACCTCCATTTGTGTCAAAATTGTTGCACCATCGTTTGTTACAGTGATATCGCCATCTGGGGAGATCAGGATTTTGTCAAGGCCTTTGAGGTTAAAAAGTATCAAATAAAATAAATCATGGATATGTGAGTCATTTTGTATATCTGAATAAAAGTTCTCAAACAAAAGGATCATCTAAATTAATAAGCACTATCGGATCGATTTCATTGTAAAGCTACTATAAAAACGATAATTGAGCTAGGGTATTTTTGTTATACTTAAGATCTAATCAAAGAATTAAACCAACCTCTAGGCCCCAGAGAGGTTTTAATAATGTTTGCTACAGTCTTTGCCGCTAAGATGTGAGACTAATTTCAAGTTCTAAGTTAGGTCGAGTAAGCAAAGTAGAAATGACAAGCATATCGGTCTTATATCACGAGAGTAAAGTAACCTTTATGGCGTCGATTCCACTAAGACGATTCTTTCTCTGTTGTTCCCTTACTATGATAAAAGGGCGTCCATATTCATCAGTTGCGTAAACAGCACTCATATTAGGGTTTGCCATTTCAACGTACTATTAATGTTAAGGAAAGAAACTTAAATTATCAATCTTATTTTTTACAGATGTCTGATTGGCTACCATTAATTTGGTCAAGACATACTTTAAATATAATATATATATATATATATATATATAAGTCAGCTTATATAAGTTTAAAAAATTTGATGAATCTTAATTTGACCAAAAAATAAGCTGTATTTAAAAAAATTTTTTTTTTTCAAACTTTGGACAATTACTAGGCAAAATTCGTTTAAAAGAAAGCTCATTGAATTGGGTCGGGTGGTCATCGAGATGTCTTTAAAAAAAAATTGCTGTTTTGATGAAGATTTTGAGTTTCTTCAAACTTTGAGCGAAGATAACTCTACAACCACCTGATCAATTTTTTTATTTGAATTTTACAATTTTTGTAGAATTCAAATAAAAAGTTCATTGAATTTGACCTAGTGATTGTCGAGATCATTAAAATCTCTTCGTTCAAAGTTGAAAATATTTAATTTACAGGGATATTAAAATTGGGAGGCATAGATATCAATTCTCTAGTTAAAAGAAAAAGAAAAAAACAATTTATTAAAGTAAATTTAATTATATATATATATATATAATTAGTGTTTTTGTGACATAATTAAATAAATCATTTTTATTTTACGTAAATCTATATTGATAAATATTATTTTAGTTCTAATATTCATTAAAAATGTTCATCTTGCAATAAATAAATAAATTCTAAAAATTGCGTTGAATAAATAATTTTATTTACAAATAATATTAAGTGGAATGATTCACGAGACATTTATTTTATAAAGCGCACATTTTACATGATCAATTTGAGTTATAAAATTATTCGTGTTCAATAACTTTGGAAACTTTACCGATGGCAATTGTTTTTCCTAAATAAAAATACGAATAAGAGTAAGAATTGATCAATATTAAAAAATTGCCTAATAAAATTAACACGTAAAACAGTGAACAAACCTTCGTCTCGAAGTGTAAATCTTCCTAATTGTGGATATTCTTCAAATGCTTCAACGCAAATTGGACCTTGAGATTCAAGCCTCGCAATAACTTTCTGACCTTTTTTAACAAATTGCGGAGGCTTCTTCGACTTTCTTCCAGTCTTTTTGTCAATAAGATGTAAAAGTGACTGCAAGTGCAAAATGCAGCTCGATGAAGACAACAATCTTTTACAGCAGCAAAACAAACATAAATATAATATATTTAACTTACAGCGATCGATACCTCCTCTACACAAGAATGAATATGAAGAACTGCACTATATCCAGCACAAATAATATTTTTGTGTTCAAGGATAGCAAGTTGTGCTTCAAATATAGTTGTAGTCTTTACCGATCGCTTAGTTGAACAAACCACAAATCCAGTTGAAATTTCTTCCTCTTCAATACCACGCACACGCAGCCGGACATTGTCCCCACAAACACCAACATTCACTTCTTCTTCAGTTTCATTATAAATGGCGGATACTTCAACAGTTCGCTGGTGAAATCAATGGTATGAGACTGTATAATTATTAAATCAGCAAATCAACTTTATCCAATAATATGGGCAAGCGTGTACCTTGTTTGGCATTATCAACACAGAATGGCCTTTCTTAACGGTGCCCGATTCAATTTTACCAACGACTATTGTACCCATATCCTTCATAATCGCAAATTATATTAATAAAATGTTAAGAATTGAAATTTAGCATTAATATTTCATAAAACTACCTTATACTTTTCGGTAATTGGCATCATTAATGGTGCGTTTAAGTTTCTATCCAAAGCTTTCATATTGTCCAAATATTCTAGCAATGATGCCCCTCTAAAAAAATAATGAAACAATGTCAAATACGTTTGTGCCAAGAATCTCAATTTAATTATGTTCTTACCTATACCAACTGCACACTTCTTCAGATAGACGATCTTTAAGATTCGCCCCCGTAAATGCAGATACTGGCATGAATTCAATATCTGCGTAGAGTATTAAAAAACAAAATTCAATTATTTACGTTCCTAAATAAAGATCTGAATGAATTCGTTACGTACCTGTTGCAGGATTATATCCACTTGACTTTAAAAATGGTGTAAGCTTGGTAACACATTCATCATACCTAAATATGACAGTAAAAAACTTAGATATTTTTCTATACAGATCGTGATTATTGCATCTTCATATCGACCGATTTGATTTTTTTGGGCCTTTTTAGATAAAATGATTGATGCTCTTATACGACGTTGAAAAGACGACGTTGAAAGTAAAAATGAAACACGTCACAATCAATAAAAAAAGATTTTCTAGTACATATATGAGATAGAAGCAAATAAAAATAAATAAAGCAGCTATACTAAGTTGTAAAAGGAGTAAATTAGTAGTAGTTGGAATGTTCAGGTGTTAAGGATCGAATGGTCATTGATAATAGTGTGTAAAAAGCAATTTTCAAGAAAATGACCTTTTAAACTTACTTTTAATCTATTAATTATATTTAATATAATTTTGTATAGGTTTAATTATGAATTAAACGCAAGTTAAAAAGGCCATTCTTTTGGAAACTCCTGGGTAATCATCAATCATGATTGGCTAATTAATTTTGGCCTGATCATATCGGTCCGTATGTCATCACAAACCTACCTCTCCTTGGACCAACCAACTGTAGGATCATCCATTTTGTTGATGACTACTATCAGTTTGTTGACTCCAGAAGTTTTTGCAAGAACAGCATGTTCGCGCGTCTGACCACCTCTTTCAAACCCAGTTTCAAACTCTCCTTTTCTTGCAGATATGACCTAAAAATTCATAAGAGAAATATAATTTATTGATCTGAAAAGTATGTCCTCAAGCTTGAATATATTTGAACACATTGAAATCACATGCCATAATTCCGACGTCTGCTTGAGCTGCGCCACCAATCATATTAGGTACATAGTTTTTGTGCCCAGGAGCATCTAGAATTGTATAACGCCTTTTTTCTGTTTCAAAATATGCACGACCACATTCAACAGTTTTCCCCTGTAGGTATTAATAACATAATGAATAATATATTGGTCATAAGATTTTTTATGCTTATTTCTAGAATTCACAACTTATGACGTATAAACTATTCACCTTTGCCCTCTCCTCCTTTCCGGTATCAAGAGCCCATGATAAATACCAAGATTCTCGATTTAGTTCTTTTGCTTCTTTTTCATATTTTTCCATAGTTCTTTGATCAACCATGCCTGTCAAATATCTAAAAAAGGATAAATAAATGATTAAATTTTAAAACAAATAAATTTACTAAATTCACTCACAAAATATTTCCACCCATAGTAGACTTTCCGGCGTCTAATTGCAAAAGAATGACAATTATATGTAAACAGTTAGTTAAAATTCAAGTTAACATTGAAATTATATATTCTTATTTCTTTCAGACTTGAAAATACAGTGCCTTAATCTAACAACAGTAATTCAATTCTAATACTATTATTGTTATCAAGTAAATTAGATCATATCCCAGGTAATAGTTGCACAAATACTAACCTACATGACCAATGAATACGAGGTTAAGATGCTCCTTTCCATATAAGTCCTGAACAATCTCGCTGTCAACGACTTCCTCGCCTATGCCATCGGCACCCTGATCCGTAACGTTGGGCTTTTTATCTGCATTTTTTGCCGGAGTAGTGTTTGTTGAAGTAGTGTTTACTGGAGTAGTGTTTGCAGTAGTGTTTGCCGGCGTAGTACTTGTTGCTAATTTGCAAAGTTTTTAATCAGCATAATTTATATAACGACGACGGTTGATTTCAAGAAAAGGTCAATATTCAACTCACTATTTTGCAACCAGCTTGGCACGAACTCCTTTGCAGAAGTATTTAACTTGAATTCTTTTACAGATAACTGCGTTGTTTTCTCAACAAGCGTAGCCTCAGCCTCAGCATCTTCCTCCCAATTATCTTTTGGATCTATGTTGCCTTGTTCTTTACTCATTTCTAAACAATATTCGATATTCGATATTCAGGTAATATATATAAAACCTGATAATCTGAGATCTGCGGAATTAGGGAACTACTCGTAAATCGGGTACCATATTTCGGTGTAAGGCCATATTGAGTATGTTGCACTATAGTGCTGATTAATTTTAAAGAATTATGTCATAATGCATCATTGTCCCTTGAATTGTCTGGGAGTGCCCAAATTGGCAGAATTTGCTCATTATTCTTATGAGTAAAATAATAAACTATAGATGGATAGTCTAAGTATGATTTATACGCAGTGTTTAAAATTCAATTTTGGTTCAAAAAGCTTGATAATTTTGGAAACATAACAAAAAATTCAAAAAAAAAATAATTTTATATGACATATATAAAGTCCGCAATTTTGGCTTGTGGAATGAATTTTATTAAGGCCATTTGAAGTTATAATTTCGTTTAACGTTCCTTTCGAAGCTTAAGCGTAGTGGCTAGTTTTTGTAGATCATTTTGTGACGTAACAAATTTTGATTGGCTAAGAGAAGATAAGTTCAAAGTAAAAAATTCGCTAATAAAAGAATATTAAAATTATAAA